CCTGGCCCCCTGCACTGGGCGCGCGGAGTTTCAGCTGCTGCACCACCAGGAAGTCCCCAGAGGGCGCTCCTTACCACCTTCTCGCATCTTCTCTCCGCCCGAGCTCTCCGTGGTGCCATTTTTATTCTGCTCCCTGAGTCCTCCGTGGGAAGCAGGGCATAAATCCTCTCTGCTCTGGCTTCCTCTTTAAAACTCTTTGTGGTTTTGCTATAGTTGCTGCTCCGGCCATTGGTCAACCTCCCGGTGGAGGAGGAACGATGACAGGGGTTCCAGTGTCTGACCTTTTCTCTCTCTTTTTCTCTTCCTCTCTCCTCCCGGTAGCCCAGAAGCATCTCCACTTCTTCCCTTGATGCTTGAAAAATTCTCTTGGGTTATAGCCCCAGTTCTTGATACCTAGGGCTTATCCTAACACTGCGTGTTTAGATCATCAGGCTTTGATGGTAACATGTAAATGGAATTTTTGAATTTGGAGTTTTTCATGTGTTTGTTTTTAACAAAGCCTGACTCAGGATTATTATTTCCTGAGTGACTTAAAACATGTTTTTCACAAAGCAGGGCAGCAGCTCCATTATAATGAGTGGGATCTCCCTGCTGTTTACTAGAGCCCTGAAGCCTGCTCATGCAATGAGTGGGAAGTTTGAGTGGAGTAGAAAATAAGTCAGCTTATTGTTTTAATAGTATTAAGCCCGTTCAATATCTAACCTGAAGAAGGAGTGGGAAGAACAAAGCTCGGATGGTCCCAGACTTCCCACGAGGACAGGGGCGCAGGAGCCATTCTCTAGCTCTGGTCGGCGACTCTCTAACTGGGACCTGCCCTCGTTGGAGGGTGGTTGGGGAGGAGGGCCTTGACCATCAAGATTCTCTCCCAGTTTTTTCTGTCCATCTTATTCACCACTAAACGTAGATCCAAAAGCCGCTCGGTTGCTTTTGGATATTAACATTGTGCTGAAAGATCAAGCTGTGTGTCCACGGAGGAGAATTCGTTGTCTATCTGCAGGTGTCCGGGCAGATCCCCAAACACGTCTCTGAAATGTTTTGAGCGACAGCATAGACGTCCATCCTCCCAAGAGGGTTCTCGGAAGAGGAATACGCTCATTTGGATCTGTGCCTTAGAGAAAGCATCTCTGTGATGACTGTGCATCAACACCTTACGGAGCCCCTGGCAGGCATCCCAGAGCCCGGGTACCCACTGCATCTCCTCGCAGCTCTGTGCTGGCTGCGAGAGCCAGGCAGACCCGGGGAAATGTCAGGAATGAGGCAAATTAAGAACAAATTAAACTCCCCTCCAGCTGGGCAGCCCCTTTGATGTCAGCAGCGGAGGGACACTTTGTGTCCTTGCAGTGAATTGTAATGTCTAAGGAATACTCTAGGTGGGCTGTTGGAAGCAGCCTGTCTGGCAGCAAGAGCATTGGTATCAGAAGAGAACCAAGGCAGCAGCTCGTGAAGGGAGGTGTGATCGGATCTCTGTGAGAGGCCTCCTGCCTCAGGGAGGGCTGCGGACCGGTCACTGCCCACTCCCAGAGGCCTGCACCCCTGCGGTGGTCTTCCCTTGCCTCCCTCTGCCCTCGGGCTCTAGACCCTGAGGCCCCAATACTGGCGGAGCTGACTCTTGTCACGTTCAGGGCATGTCCTCTTTGGGCTCCACCTCTCCACACACCAGGGATGTTCAGGTGCAAACATGTGAGGTGCTGTTGGGAATTTGCACAAGAAAAAAAATATGAATCATCGATTCATTTGGTCACGTGTGTGCGTGCTAAGTCGCTTCAGTCGTGTCTGACTCTTTGCGGCCCTGTGGACTCCTCTGTCCCTGGGATTCTCCAGGCAAGAATACTGGAGCGGGTTGCCATTTCCTTCTCCAGGGGCTCTTCCCCTACCCAGGGATTGAATCTGCGTCTCTTATGTCTCCTGCATTGGTAGGTGGGTTCTTTACCACTAGCACTGCCTTCACATATTTACAAATTTTTAAAAAGTCTTTAAAATTTTTAAAGTTATAGTTGATTTACAACTTTTGTATATAGCAAAGTTATTTGGTTATACATATATAAATTCTTTCTCATATTCTTTTCTACTATGGTTTATTACAAGATATTGAATATAGCTCCCTGTGCTATGGTAGGACCTTGTTGTTTATCGGTTTTATTTTGTAGTTTGTATATGCTAATCCCCAAAGTCTAATTTATCCTTCCCTACCCCTCTTTGGTAACCGTTAGTTTATTTACCATGTCTATGAGTCTGTTTCTGCTTTATATATAAGCTCATGTGTATCATATTTTAGTTTCTGCATATAAGTGAAATCATGAGATGCTTGTCTTTCTCTGCAAACATTTATTTTTATTCATTAAACATTCATTGAGTCCCTGCTATGTGTTGGCTACCTGCTGGGGATGCCAAGATGAAGGGATCCATGTGCCTGTTCTGCAGGAAGGGATTGCAGAGGACTGGGCGGGGGAGGGGGTAGGGAAGACGATGGGGAAGACAGTCTCGCTCAGGTGGCCCAGAAAGGTGCTGGGGGCTTGGGATGGAGCACATGGGGCATCGAGGTGGGTCAGGAATTGGACAGGAAAGAGCTTGTGTACCGAGAAGTACTGGATTGGCCAAAAGGTTTGTTCAGGTTTTTCCTTAACAGCATACAGAAAAATCTGAATGAACTTTTTGGTCAACCTCATATACATGAGGTCTTTGGGAAACACGAAGAAAAAGAGGTGACCTGCGCTTGGAGGATGAGAAGCATCAGCGGAGGCTTTAAGGAGGAGGAGAAAGGGGATGGTGTTACAGCAAGGAGTCTGCAAGCCCAGGGGATGGATGAGTGAAAACGTGCTCTGGGAAAGACCAGGGCATGGTGTGTGCAGATCCGAGTTCATCTGGAGACCAGACTCACGGTGGGAGGACAGTGGGAGGCAGGCAGGGGAAGTAGGAAGGAGGCATGTCGTGAAGGGTCTTGATGCTCCATTAGTTTTTATCTTGTTCTTGAGCAGTGGAGGAAGTCGAAGATTTCTGAGCAGAGGAATGAGATGGTCACATGTGTTAACAGGAGGAAGGCTGGAGTGAGAGAAGGGAATATGTTATTTTATCTACTCTTTGGAAGTTGTCTTTGAACGAGGTACTGGTCCCCTCGAGTCTTCTTTAATGAAAAGCTGCAGTCCCATACCTGCTGTACCAATTTTTATCTCCTCCAGCTACTGGGTCTGGTCCCACCTGGAGGCCCCACTGCCTTAGGGAGGAGGGCATTTGTCAGTGAGAGTGGGAGGCAGGGAGTAGGCTGCCTTCCGGGCAGAAAAGCTCTTCAAAAAGTAACTGTGTGTGAGAGAGGGAGAGAGAGAAAATGCATGAGCCTGGTTGGGTAAAGGGAGAGGGAGAGGAATTACTATGGGACCAAATCAGGAACCTCTCTGTTGAGAGATGAGGGCAGATAGACCAAAAGGCTTTCTAGGATGACCTGGTGATGGAGCTGTTCTGAGCAGGTGACGGATGCTCGGAGGTGGGCTTCTGGACCACTCTTCACTTACTGCCTGCTCAGGTAGCCTGCATCTGAGAGAACCTTGGTGTGTTCATCTTGGACTATGTATGCAACCTGGGCCGCAGCATTGAAAGAAAACGGAGAGTTGGACAAGGTCCTCAGAGGGACCCTGAAAGGTTGAAGGGATTTCCTCTGAAGATACCCTGAAGACATTCAGATTTTGTTTCTGTGGACAAGGTGACACACAGGCTGGGTTCGGAAGCCATTTCAGTGGGATAGGAATGGGACAAACTTGTCACCAAACCCTAGACTCCTAGAAGTAGGCCTCTGGAATGAAACTGGGAGGAGGCAGCTGCTGGACTGGTGGGATGGACTATTGCTTCATGCAACAAGCAGCACATGTGGGACGTTGAGCTCTCAGAGACTGGTGTAGAATAAGCAGGTAAATGGATGTGGCACAAGCTTACATCAATTCCAGGATGCTGGATCCACCACAGGATGCTAATGTCAGTAAGGGGTGTCTGGGGCCTGTGCTTCACCTTTGGAGTCAACACCATGGGGGATTAAGATACTTTCCATGGAGTACTCAGGGGGTGGGGGGATCCCAACTTGTACGGAAAGCATTTTTCTGTTTTCTTTTGCATTTACTTGGATCACCAAAGTGACCAGCGCTGAGCACAATCATTTTTAACCTCTCTTAATTTTTATTTGTTGTGCGTAAAAGTATGATAATTTTATGCTAATTATTATCTCAGGAGTGTTATAAGCAATGTGAGATCAAACCTGTCATGGTGAGCTCTGAAACATAAAAGAGCAGTCCTCCAACAGACATGAAGAGGCAACTCTGTTACCCAAGGCCAAGGAACACAGACACAGACACAGACACACACACACACACACACACACACACACACACCCCTGCGCTCACCACATCGCTTCAGTGTCTCCCCCAACCAAATGTTTTCTCTTTTTAATATTTATTTATTTGGCTATATCGGGTCTTGGTTGCAGCATGTGGGATCATGCGGGATTTTCATTGCATCACATGGATTTTTCGTGGCAGCGCATGGACTCTCTACTTGTGGCACATGAGCTTAGTGGTGGCTGCGCATGGGCCTAGTTTCTCCAACGCATTTGGGGTCTTAGTTCCCTGACCAGGGATCAAACTCGCATCCCCTGCATTGCAAGGCAGATTCTTAACCACTGGACCACCAGGGAAGTCCCCCAGATGTTTTCTTAACGTTGCTATTAAGGAATCAAAGAGGCTGATTTTTGCTGCTGCTTTTCTGTTTTCTAGTTCACTCTTGAATGCTTTGGACACGTGGACTGGTCAGCGTGTGTGTGTATGTGTGTGGGAGGTAGTGAGGGAAGAGCTAAGAACTTCCAAGGAGGCTGCGGGACCTTCACACACTGAGGAAGAGAGTCCGATTCTCTGACCTAGAAGGGAGTCGCATGACTCTAGACTGTACGGACCAGTGAATCAGAGAAAACAGAGAGCCTGCAGGCCTGGCCTGACCGGTGTGTCCCCCTTGACCCGGCGCAGGTGACTGCTGGCTCCTGGCGGCCATTGCCTCCCTCACCTTGAACCGAGAGCTGCTGCACCGCGTGGTCCCCAGGGGCCAGAGCTTCCAGGAGAACTACGCGGGAATATTTCATTTTCAGGTATCCCGCCTAGCTCTTGGCCCTTGACCCTACTTTCCATAGTGTGGGGACCCACGCCAAGAGTCGGAAGTCTGGGTTTGGGGCCCAGTAGCCTAGGTTCTAACAATCCCTCCAGGGCCTTCTGATGTGTGCTTGAGTTTGAGAACCCTTGCTTTGACGTGTTCATCCAGTCACCCACACGCCTGTCCCCTCCCGTCTCCTTCAGGCCACGTGGCCTTGAGGAAAGCACTTGGAGTGAGTGAAGGTCAGGAGATGTGGGCTCGAGTCACCCACTGCTGCCACAGCATGGTACAGTTCCTCTCATTCACAAATTCAGCCTCTGAACTTGTTTTCCGCTTTCACTGGCATCTCCCGTGGACATGGTCAAGTAAGACAGATCCTGCTCTTAAATGACAGATCCAGTTCATTAAAGGCTGGAGCATTGACCAGCTCAGAGCCTCCTTCCCCGAGGTCCCCTGACGATGCCAACTCTGCCTGTCGGCTCATCCCTGTAAGCGGATGCTATATTTCCCTCCCCCAGTTCTGGCAGTATGGAGAGTGGGTGGAGGTGGTCGTGGATGACAGGCTCCCCACCAAGGATGGAAAGCTGCTCTTCCTGCATTCCGAAGAAGGCAGTGAATTCTGGAGCGCGCTGCTGGAGAAGGCCTATGCCAAGTAAGTGGGGCAGGTAGGAGCTGGGAGACCGCATAGAGCTGGGGGAGCTTGCTCCCTCCCCGCCGACTCTGGGTACCCTGACCAAGTCTTTCCCAGCACCCAGACCCTGCTGTGTACAGTATCCCCAATAACAGAGAAACAAAAAATTGGGCTAGGAGTTCAAAGCTCAGCTCTGTCCCACATGAATGTGTGAATTGGGACGTTGGTTTTGTCCTCTTAAAGCCTCCAGGTCAGTTCTTCGGTCAATGTGAGTTTTTTAAAGAGTGATGAGGAAGAAGAATAAAGCAAATATGCTTAGATATAAGACTCACCAAGGTCTCTACCCTTTGTTTGGTGGTCATTCTTCTTCTTACTGGCATTCAATGTTCAAAGTCTTCTTTGGGGTTCTTTTAATTCATTTTATTGATTGGTCCCCTTTTTCTGCAACCTCTGTTCCTTCCCAGCCCTATTCCCAAAGCAAGCCCCAAAGGAGGCCTCTCAGCCTTGAGGGAAGGTCCCCTTCATCCTTACCCATGCCCTCAACTCCCCCAAAACCCAAGATGTCAAGGTCAGCTCTGGAGCGATTACACATTACTTTTTATTTTTATGTATTATTTTTTGGCTGTGCTGGGTCTTCGTTGCTGCGCTTTAGCTTTCTCTAGTTGCAGTGAGTAAAGGCCATCTATTTGCAATGCTTGGGCTTCTCATTAGGGTGGCTTCTCTTGCTGTGGAGCATGGGCTGTAGGCATGCAGGCTTCAGTAGTGTCCTGGAAACCCGTGTCCCCTGCATTGGCAGGCAGATTCAACCACTGGACCCCACCAGGGAAGTCCTGCACTTTGCTTTTTGAAAGAGCGCTTGGCTTCGTGAGAGGTGTTCTGAGATTCGTTCCTGGCAGAGTGCTGAACTGGCCTTCTGAAACTGTGCCTAAATCCCTGGCCCATAGACAGAACTGACTAAGGCCCCCCTGTGCCCTCCAGGGCCCACCATGTCCTCGCAGCGCCCCTGCCCCATCCCACGTGGGCTAATGGCTGTGGATGATACCTGTGTTCTTTCTTGTCCAACAGGCTCAACGGTTCTTATGAGGCTCTCACTGGAGGGTCCACGGTGGAGGGGTTTGAGGATTTCACAGGTGGCATCTCTGAGTTTTATAACCTGAAGAAGCCGCCGGCCAGTCTGTTCCAGACCATCCGGAAGGCCCTCCGCTCGGGGTCTCTGCTGGCCTGCTCCATTGACGTGAGCTGGGATGGCTTCTCTCTGCTTCTCCTCCCTGCATGTGGTAGGGAAGGGACCAGATCAGGGGCTCGAGGCCCGGAAGGCTTTGGGCCAGAGTCTGGGGCTTATGGAGTAAGTCCCATGATGTATTGGTCCCTAGCAGGTGGGAGCTGATGGCAAGACCTAATTAATGGATAGGAACCAGAGTTTGGGCTCATAAACTCAGAAATGTTAGGAGCCCTAAGTGTCAAGCCCCTTTAGTTCTGCAGGAATTGCCCTAAGAATGCAGCTTTGATCCCTAGATCCTGGGCCCTGCCTTTGCCACCCCCGTTTGCCTAAGTAATCTTGGGATTTTGTAAACACAGTGATCAACAATATATGATGGGGGCTTGGAGCTCACTGAAGACACGGGAAGAGGTTTTGACCCAGGGGTGATGCCCTGTCTTGGGGTTGGTGGTATGCAGCGCCAAGGTAGCCTGGGGACCAGAGCCTGGAGGCCACCAGCCCCTCCACCTGCTCTTTCTCTCCTTACCGTGGTCTCACACAGATGAATGACCAGGCAGGAACAATCTCCCTTTCTCCTCTCTATAAAAACCCCAGCAGGATATGTGTGTGTTTTTGGTAGAGAAGTAATGTGGACCCTGGGGAAGGTACAGAACTATTGAGGAGGGACTCTGGGGACCCCCACTGGTGAACGGGGACCAGTCCAGAGGGGTTGTTATGGTTAGGCTTTTACAGGCAGTCGTGGTATCCCTCTTGGGGAATAAATGACTTCTCAGCTTTCTATGTCATTTTAAAGGCTGGTAAGTCATTTTCCAGGACTGGCAGGCAGGCCTGATCAAAGAGGAGTGGATGGAGAGAGCTCTGTTTACCTGGGGCTAATTGCTCTGCATGCATATGTCCCCAGCCCTGCACTGGGACCCCCCTGGCTGTGTAGCATGTGCTTAGAAAGCCTTGTAGGACTGGCCCCACGAAGGTCAGGGTCAGCCACTCTGAGTGGACTTCTTTATTTTCAACTCAGGTCTCCAGTGCGGCCGAAACGGAAGCCATCACCAGCCAGAAGCTGGTTAAGGGTCACGCATACTCTGTCACTGGAGTCGAAGAGGTAAAGTTGGGCAGGGATGGAAGGGTAGGGTAGTGCATGACGGTATTACCGTAAATCCCTGGCATCCTAGAGAGAAAGAGAGGGGATCTTATGTAACCTCTCTGAGCCACAGCTTTATGGGCTCTAACTAAATGCAGGCTCTCCTCTGAGATGTGGCCAGGATGGGACAGAAGGTTTTAGAGGAAAGTTGTAGAAACTGTCAGTTAGATCCATACTCTTTCTGAGAAGTATGTTTGTACAGGTAAAGCACTGGAAACCCATAGAATCCTCAAGGCGAAAAAGGCAGTAATACCTGCCCCAGCTTTCAAGATGAGGTGTGATAGTGAGAGGAACGCAGCTATTCCTTACTCTCCAACCAGTGGAGAAAGCACGGGCTAAGCTTTTCATTATTTTTATTTACTATAGTCTGCCTACTTCCAAAAAGGATGTGCAGTGGTTTGCAATGAAAAGCACAGACTCAATAAAACCATGCAACAAAGGCAAAATACAGAAGACAGTCCAGGCTAAAGACAGTGCTCCAGTGGAGAAATTAATTTTGCTTTGGGTTTCCTGAGGGCTAAGGCAAAAAGGGAAATGCAATGGTGTCTTAGTTTTTGTTATTTATTAAAAAGAGACTCAGATGTATAGAACAGACTTGTGGACTCTGTGGGAGAAGGCGAGGGTGGGATGTTTCAAGAGAACAGCATCGAAACATGTATATTATCTAGGGTGAAACAGATCACCAGCCCAGGTTGGATGCATGAGACAAGTGCTCGGGCCTGGTGCACTGGGAAGACCCAGAGGGATTGGGTGGAGAGGGAGGTGGGAGGGGGGACTGGGATGGGGAATACATGTAAATCCATGGCTAATTCATTTCAATGTATGACAAAAACCACTGCAATGTTGTAAAGTAATTAGCCTCCAACTAATAAAAATAAATGGAAAAAAAAGAAAAAAAAAGGCATTAATGTTCAGTGTGTGTATTTGTGTTGTGTTTCACAAATACACACCTTAATGAAGTCAATTCCCAAACGTGAATTCAGCATTTATGTGTAGACACTGGGTTGAGGGCATGACGGAGGATACAAAGGAAGGTCAGATACTGAAGACTGAACAGTTCATCGTGTTTGTGTATGTGAGCAAATACACAAATGGGGTTCCATAGAGAGTAGGGGAAGGTGGATGAATGTATGGGCTTTCAGACAGGCTGCCTGGGTGCCTGTCCTCCACCTATTATTTACTAACTAGGTAACCTTGGATAATTCAACCCCTCTGTCTAGGTCTCAGAGGTGGTTTGTTTTTTTTTAATTTTTATTGGAATATATTTTATTTACAATGCTGTGTTAGTTTCAGGTGTGCAGCAAAGTGAATCAGTTATCCATGTACATATATCCACTCTCTGTGTGTCTCAGAGTTTTGAGGGAGATTAAAATGAAGATAATAACAGCACCCAGCTTATAGGATGGTTGTGAAGTTTAAATGTGGTGATAATGCATCTGAAAGGCCCAGCTTGGTGCCCGGGTCATAGCACCAGCTCATGAAATGCTAATTGCTCTGCTCTTAGTATTTGTTGGAGGGCATGTATTATCAACAGGTCTCATATATTAAGAACTGAGTCAACTATAAAATTTTAAGCCAAGTTAAAGCCGACAGATGTTTGTTTTTTTATGCTAGACTCACTATTTATTCAACCAGATTGTGAAAAAACAGAGCTAAGGCCTGAAAAAATGTGTGAAAAGAAGACATGTTTAGAGGCCTTTGAGGAATTGAATGCAAGTCCACTCAGGTGCAGACACGAACGCAGGGTGGCAGGGCTGGGTGTGGAGATTCACTTGCCTTTGTGTGTGGCCCTTGCAGGTGGATTTCCAGGGCTGTCCAGAGAGGCTGATCAGACTCCGGAACCCGTGGGGCGAAGTGGAGTGGAAGGGGGCCTGGAGCGACGAGTAGGTTCTCCCCTGCCTCCCTGCCCATGCCCACCTCCCTCTGCGGGGAAGGCATCAGGCAAAACACACGCAGTGATTCTGAGACCCCCGGGGCAGTGCGCTCGCGGCGCTTCCTATCCGCAAATCACACAGCCTGTTCAGAAAAGAATTTTAGATGGTTCCAGGTGGGGAAAAGCCAAACAAAACCCACTCAGCAGTAGTCTTTGATTCCTTGCTCTGCTCTGGCATTTGCAAGTTTGGCAGCTCAGTGGAATTTTGCTTCGTGCCTGAGGGTTTGCTTGTTTTCTGTGTACCACGGCGGTCATCCAAAGGTGAGACCCATCACTCTTGATCGAATTCTTTCCACTTCGCAAAGTCTAGTTACTCTGACAAAGGCCAAACCCCTCAGCACAAGGAAGAAACACGCTTAGAAAGAGGAACTGAATCTTAGAAGAGTCACTGGCTGCCGCAGGCAGGAGGATGAACGGGGGGTGTGCCCGCTCGCTGAGAGCTCATTTCTGGCAGGTACTGATCTCTCCTGACAAAGCCATTAATGACCGGAGGGACCCAGGCCTCTCAGAGATGGTGCCTGAACCCAGAGAGAGGCCTCCCGTGGTGTCCTGGGACAGCTGTGTTCTGGAATCAGTGCTACCGTAGTACAGGAGGATAGAGAGAGCATGGTCTGGTTTCCACCCTAGTTAGCACCGCTGGCATGGGGGAGGCAGGTTGGCGCCGCTAGGGGAGGATGGAGAACTCACCAGTGTCATGGATGAAGAGCCGCCAGAAATGGGAATGGTCATAAAAACACCCCCCCGCCCAAAACACATCCTTAAGCCTCATATGTACCCCATGTGCTGTCCGTACTGCATGATGCCACCAGGGCTTTGGAAGGGGACTGTATTACTTTTATGAACTAATCACACTTCATTACTGCTCATAACTGCAGTCCTTCCCTTCAGGTTTGTGTCATGAAGAAACACACGTCCCCAAGGCCACAGATGGCCTCCTATATTAAAGACTTTTCATTCCACTGCCTGCGATGGAGCAAAACCCAAAACCTTAGTTCTACTGACTGCCCCAAAAGCATGTCATAGCTGAATGAAATAGAAACCCCGAGTTTTGGCCATTTTAAGCTGCAGCTGTTTCCCAAGCTGTTTACAGGGCTTATGGGGCTTTATCTCCTTTCCCTGATGCTGCTCAGCCTCTTAACAGGCTGGGACAGGTCCAGGGGTTCAAGGTGATGACTGGCGGGCACCACCATCTGGAGACACAGCCTGGGATGTTTCTATATGGATGTTGTGGGGGAGGGCGCTGCAGCTCTGTGAGACCCCCTAGCCTCAGCCCAATGTCTTTAAGTTAGAAAAATTTTTTTCCAGTTAGTTTCAAGAAACTAGCTGGGATATTTAGATCAGATCTCAAATTCTCCAACTTGTCTCCTAATCTTTGTTTATGACAAGCACATTCAGAGCTTTGGTTCTGATTCAGTGACTGTTTCCATGAATTACAGAGGCTCTGGGAGTTCCCCTGCCTGATCCTTTGGGGACCTGAGAGCCCCCCTGGAGGGAGAGGCTGGGCTTAGTCCTCGTGTTCATGCGGCCAAGGGGAGGTCTCCATGTTTTGCCGAAAGCATTCAGAGAAGGGATTTTTTTTTTTTAAAGATGGATCTTGATGCTGCTTAGTTATTTAGACACTGCATACATATTTCAGGGAAACCTCACTTCTTAAAGGTCAGGTAGCTGGAGATGGCATTTGAACAAAGTATGTGGGTATTGCCACAGAAAGGCTGCCAGCAGGAAGCCTCGCAGGGTGCCATTACTCCAGGGAAACTGTCACAAAATTGGGAGTGATTGGCATCTGCGGGCTCAGGAAGGGGACCATGTTTATGTGTCCGAGATGCTTAGGGCTTCTCACGGTATCTTCACCTCAGACAGATAAGCCAGAAGGATGTCTCACCAACTGAGAAGAGGAGGAGGTGGTCTTTCTCTGCTGGCCATTCTCACAGCTCTTCCCCTGAACTTGCCCAGGCCTGTGATCCAGGGCCTGGGGGGGGTTAAATCAGGCATGAATGTAGAACTTGCCTGGAGAGTGAAATTAGAGCAAAGCCGTGGCCCAGTGTTCCTCCTGCTGCATGTTTGAGGTCACCCTGCTAGTGCCTGTGGAGTCCTGTCCCTTCCCCAGATGGCACCCCCTACCATCTCATACCCTCCCCCTGCCCCCAGTCATTTTGGTATTCCCCATATCTGGGGTTGGTGGCGAGGCGGGGAGGTGGGGAGGGTGGGAAGCTGAGCTGCAGTAGATAGCTTGCTCTTCAGCAAACTCTTCAAGAACCATCACCTCTGCTTCCTTAAAACAACAACAACAGCAACTTTATTCTTTCTTTCCCAGTGCACCGGAGTGGAATTACATAGACCCCAGGCAGAAAGAACAGCTGGACAAGAAAGCCGAGGATGGAGAGTTTTGGTGAGAGGGTCTGCAGGAGTGCTGTCCTCTTAGTTGTGGATTCCTTCCTGGTTTGCACATGGGCAGTTCTCTCTAGGTGTTCCAGTAATTCAATATGGTTTCTGGCCAGGGGGCTTCTTTCTTCTTCCCCTCTTACTCCAGTAAAAGGTAGAAACCAAGATACCTGGGCCTCAACATGGATTAGCTATTAGCCTGACTTTCTCAGTTTCTGTATCTTTTCAAAGTCCAGGGTTTAGATTAGCATCAAAATACAACAACTTCCTTCACTCCCTAAGAAAGATAATAAGGACATGGTTAGACTAGGTGGCTTAGGGACCATCTCTAGGCTGGACACCAATCAGAGTTAACCAGTCACCTCGAGGTGGTGACTTGGTTCATTTTACCTCCCAGGGTCTCTGCAGTTTACGGTTGAATCTCTTTGCTGGTTTGTTGGATATAAGAGGGGAGCTTTTAAAGAACAGAAATGCAAGCAATAGTGAGGAATTTGCCTATACTGTACACTTTTTTCACTGCTATTAAAATATCATTGTTTGACTGGTGAGTTATAAGTCATTTAAAAAGAAATAGTGGGGCATTTGTCCAATGATAGCTGCGTATTTGTACAGTGGGGTGTAGGAAAGTTAGCCCATGACGTCTGCTCTGTCCTGTGCCCACTGGGCCACACCTTCCACCACCTTTCCAGCCCAGCTCTCTTGACTGAGAGCTCACCGATCCCTTTGCCCCCAGGATGTCTTTTTCGGATTTCTTGAGGCAGTTCTCTCGGCTGGAGATCTGCAACCTGTCCCTGGACTCACTGAGCAGCGAGGAGGTGCGCAAATGGAACCTGGTGCTGTTCAATGGGTGCTGGACTCGGGGCTCCACGGCTGGCGGCTGCCAGAACTACCCAGGTGAGGTGGGGGGAGGAGGGTGACACTGTGTCCACCTCGTCTTCTGTCTTGTCCTCCATGGGCTGGGCATCCTTATCTGTTAATCTTGGGACAATGCCTTTGCGCTCTGTCCTCTGGCTCCTGACACCACTTGGTGGCCCAGCCTCTTTCTGGGGCTTGGAGGCCAAGGCTGCAGGGGTGGGTGGTGACTCTGCAGCCCCTTACCTGCAGCTCGATCTCAGGTAACGTCATTCTTCAGCATCTCTGCGTGTTCAGACTTTCTGCTCCACCCACCTGCCCCTTGCCTTCAAAGGCTGTTCTTTGTACTAACCGTGACTTGACTCTGCACCAAGGTCTCTTGTTCTTCTCTGGGGCTTCCTCCATCTCCCCCCGGCCCAGCTGGCTGGCACTTGGCCCACTGTGCACTGGGACAGGTGCAGCATCACTGTGTTGGTAGACTGCATCCTAGTGGCTGTTTTGCTTTGTTTGCACCTATGTTGGAGGTGGCGGGGCCTGACAGCCTCATCAGGGGTGGTCACACGCAGGGCGTGGAAATGGCCACTGTCTGCTCCCCCTGGGAGTCATCGGAGCACCCTCCCTGGTGGGGATAGTCTGGTGCAAACCACTGCTACTGTGCTAACCCGGGCCCTCATCCTATTAAAGGTGGGAAGCCTTCCTGTTGGCGGGAGATCACTAATGTCTACATATACAGGCTCATCCTAGGTCGAATCACCTGAGGCAGCAGCAGAGGAAGAAACTCCGAAAAACAGCCCCACATCTCTCAGGAGAAATGAAAGAAAGCAAAACCCACCCTCTCCACTCCCCCCACCCCCCCAGGCTCCATGCTCCCTCTCCTAGTTTGATGTTGACCTTGTTGACGGACTTAGATGTGTAGGCGCTGGGCCTTGTTCTCACGACAGAGCTCAGTGCAGGCCTGTGCTCAGGGTGTAGAAACAGCATTAGAACAAAATCCCACGTGGGTGGAATCCTGGGGCTTGACTGGGTCTCTGGTTCTTTGTCCCCCTCCAACTTAAGCTCCCATTTCTGATGGCTGAGATGAATGCTGAGCAGAGAGGGAGGAGGGAGTTCCTTTCATGCCACAGTTGCTCAGATGCTCAGTCTAATGGTTCTGGGATCCTGGGAGGGTCATTTCCCTGTTCTAAGCTTCAATTTCCCAATCGTCAAAGTGGAGGGATAATACCAGCTTTTGGAAGTGCTTTGTAAATGGTGTAGTGTTATACAAATGGGATGTATTATTTTTATGACCCATTCTCTTCTTCGAGCTCCGTTAAGGAGTAAACAAAAATATGTAGGGATTGCAGTAATGTTGCATTTGGGAGAAATTAAAATATGCTCACCATTAGCAAGCTCTTAGAAAATGTGTTGGAAATTTGCATGGATCATTTTGGGAGCTTGGCACTGTAGGAGGTGCCTAAGGTATCTGTATGCACGAAATCGCGACCCCATCTGTGCCGCCAGCTAGCTGTCGAGAAGAGATGAATGGTTCCTGCCCTTTGGTAATGATGTAAGTAACAGAAGATTACAGAATTGTCTCTGGCTCCTCTGGAGTCGGCAGATATTTGGCTTTAAAATCTACACACTTGTGTCCTAAAAAAAAAAAAAATGAAAGTGGAGGTTCTGGGAAGGTGGGTTTGTAATTTTATTGTTAAGAAAATATAATAACCAGTGGCTGTTGGTCATTTGTGAAAGACTTGTTATTTCATCACTTTGGAACTTATTTAAAGGATCCCTTCTTCCCCTACTACTCCCTCCCCCCTCCCCCACCTCCCCGCCCTCCCCCAGGCACATCATTATTGACATTGTTGAGGCCCTGGCATGGAGATGGCCCATCAAGCCCATCTTCCTCAATTGTGTTCTACCACTTGAGTCTGGCGTAGAATTGTTGTCTGCCCCGGGTGACCCATTTGCCTTCTCTGTGCCTTAGCCTGTACAGTTGCTATTTGGAGAGATTTTTTTTTAAGGTTATATTTGAAATGAAGCAGTCTTTTAAAATATCCACAGGTGGTGTGGCCGACACGCTTGTTAATCGCCAGTTAGGCTTCCCAGGTGGTGCTAGTGGTAAAGAGCCTGCCTGCCCATGCAGGAGACAAAAGACACTTAGGTTTGATCTCTGAGTCAGGAAGATCCCCCAGAGGATAGCATGGCAACCCTTTTCAGTATTCTTGCCTGGAGAGTGCAATGGACAGAGGAGCTTGGTGGGCTATGGTCCACAGGGCCACAAAGAGTTGGAGACTACTGAAGTGACTTGAAGTGCTAGTCACTCAGTCGTGTCCAACTCTTTGTGACCCCAGGAACTATAGCCCACTGGGATCCTCCATCCATGGGACTTCCCCGGCAAGAACATTGGAGTGGGTTGCCTTTTCCTTTTCCACCATACTTGAGGGGAGTGTGTCTCATCACTGGCTGCAATGTTGAGTCATCTAGAGGGGCCCCTGGGCCTCTGGACAGAGGATCGATCTATAATCAGGGCTGTTTCAGGCTGTGATCTGAAGCAGGGGCCCATCAGATGGGGCTTCCTGGAGGCAAGAGTGGTCATCTTTATAGCCTGTCAGGAGAGGCCCCCTAGGTTCCTAGTCTTCACTGGACTTTTGTTCTCATCTGAGCCAGAGACCTGCTTTTTCCCCAGACACCTCCTTCCTCCAGGAGTTGGGTTCATCTTCACAGGCCAGGAGCTGGGAACAAGGAGATGTTAACCATTTCCCCAGGAAGACTTGGCCCTCCCCAGAGGGACCTCGTGTAGCCCTGGGACCTCGGGACCTTGAATATCCCAGTCAAGCATATCAGGGCCCCTGGTTGATGAAATGGACAAGTGCAAAGTTTGCACATGCTGGGTGTGTGTGTGTGCTGGTATGTGGGCATGGTAGGGAGATAGGAGGAAATGCCGACTACCTTGGAAAGCAATCTTGCTGAGGCCTGCTTACCTGGCACAGTTTGGCCAGAGTTATGCTTTCTGGGGATGATCACAGTTCCTCCTTTTCATTCTGTTCTTCCTGATCACCTCACCTACCTTGTGGGGAACCACTGTCTCCTGGGTGACTTCCAGCCACTTACTGGACCAATCCCCAGTTCAAAATCCATTTGGACGAGGTGGATGATCACCAGGAGGAGAAAATCGGCGAACCCTGCTGCACGGTACTGCTGGGGCTGATGCAGAAGAATCGCCGGCGACAGAAGAGGATGGGACAGGGCATGCTCAGCATCGGCTATGCTGTCTACAAGGTACTCCGGAGCGGGGATCAGCCATCATGGCTCGCCTGACGTCTTTGGTTGGAATATTTTGGCCAGCGATTGAAGTGCATCTTTCTTTTTGTTTGGCTGTTCCTAATCAAGTGTTCTCCTTGCTCCCCTAAAATGCTTCTCTCAGTGGCCTTACTGAGGCCCGAATCTCACAATTAGAGATTCATTCCTTTGGTTTAAATCCCTATTATTAACATCGAGATGTGTAACTCATTTACCTTTCCCCTGTCATTGCCTGTTCAGTGTAAACACACTTATTAGACTCTTTCCAGGTATAGGCTTCTCAGGGGATGGGAGCCAAGAAGGTGACATAGAAGTCTGAGGACATCACAGGGTAGGAAAAGGGAAGCTGGTATGGGAGCCAAAGACAGACACCCTCCTCTCGGGGCAACCCCAAGACACTTGTTGGGGTGCACCAGGCTGGGGTAAAAGGAGCCAGAGGACACTTTCAGTTCTGGTATGTCTGGACTGAAGGTCATAGCTGGCTCTTGGCCCAGGCTGCAGTGCCTGGCTTAACACCCCAGCTTGCCCTGGTAACCACCTCTATATAGATTTCACAGCCTCACAGATATGTTCGAGCAAGACCTCTGCGTCTTGATAAGCCTAGCCAGGATCAAATTGGAATCCAGTTTTTAATACAGGCAAAGACTTTCTATAATGAATTCTGGAGGGATTCGTGGTGGTTGTTTTTATAGAATTTTGTTAAAAATGAATTTCTTGGGAAAAATACAATTCTAATCAGAAGGACCAAGAGCTGGCTGGAGGCCCAAAACCTCAGTATAAATTACTGTATGAAAAAGAAGTATTATAATAAGAAACCAGTAAGGAAAATTGTGACTATTAAGCTCATACAACTTCCAGCCCCTTTCTTTGTCTTATTTAGGAACTTAGGGCTTTAGAGTTTAGGGTGTATGTATGTGTGTGTATTTTGTGTTGGAGGAATGGGGAATTGAAAAATAATTGCTGTTTGATGGCTGGAGAAAAGAATTTCAACTAAATAAGCTCCAATTCTATTCCAGCTTAGCCCTTCCACCTCCACCTAGAATGTAAGTGGCACCCAACCAGATTCTTTTTTTATAGAAAGTGAAAGTGTTAGTCACTCGGTCATGTCTGATTCTTTGTGATCCCATGGACTGTAGCCTGCCAGGCTCCTCTGTCCATGGAATTCTGCAGGCAATAATACTGGAGTGGGCTGCCATTGCCTTCTCCAGGGGATCTTCCTGACCCAGGAATCCAAGCCAGGCTTCCCACATGGCAGGCATATTCTTTATATAGAAAGTGTTTACCCTATGCACATCAATTCAACCCATCTTTAGTGTGTGTCTGCCAGGTGCCTTGCTGAAAGCTGAGATACAGAGGAATGGCACAGGGTTATTGCCCTCAAGGTGCTCACAATCTCAAGGGAAAAACATGCACACACACCACTCACTGCAGGGCGGCCAGGTCCGCTATGATGAGGATCAGCACTGTGGCCTGAGGTCTCCTCAGAGAGGGATCGCTTCGTGGAGAAGACTTTGATCAGGGCATCAAAAAATGAGCTGGATTTCAAAGATGAATGAGGGAGAACTTTCCAGCCATAGGGGATGGCATGTGCTTCTTGACAGCAGGAGAGAAAGTGACAGTTTTGGAGAGCGAGCAGTAGGCAGGTATGGCCGAAGGGTGGGCTGCAATAGGGACTGTGGCCACCAGCTTTCATCCACAGGCTCTACCTTCTATTACAGGATCAGAAAAGCTTTCTTTCTTTGGAACATGAGCTAACACACGGAAAGAGCTTTGTGGGCATGGCATTTGCTCTCATAAACAATATATACAGCATGTCAGTTTTTCAGACATCAGTTTATAGCTGCTTTTAAAGTAACCCCATGTATGTGATCCATGGACCTTCTTATAGCCAGAGGCTTCTAATCTAGAGCATGACATCTATGAACACAAACTTTAGGGTTAGGATGAGGGCATGTGCAGCGCTGTAGGGATGTCTGAGGGTGGAGGCAGTGTCCGAGGGTGGAGGCAGTGACTGGGCTTGTTCAAAGGGTCTGGTGTTAGACAGAGGGAGTGCAGGGGTTGTAGGGGGTACTGTTCTCTGACCCTTGGAACTGCCTCCTCTGGCTTTGAAAGTATTAGCTGCTGAGTTGTGTCCGACTCTTTGCGACCCCCATGGACTGTAGCCCACCAAGTTCCTCTGTCCATGGGATTCTCCAGGCAAGAAGACTGGAGTTGGCTGCCATTTCCTTCTCCAGGTGATCTTCCCGACCCAGGGATCAAACCCGTGTCTCTTATGTCTCCTGCATTGGCAGGTGGGCTCTTTACTGCTAGGGCCACCTGGGAAGCACCGCCCCCCTCTCCCCCATCCCACCCCTTTCTGGCTTTAACTGTCTGTAAACTGGAGTCTGGCCTGAGGTTGGAAACTTGACACTGATTGAGGAGCAGCCAGAAAGCCCTGAAGGCTAAAGAGCCCTGCTTGTCTGGCCTCCCTCTTAACTTCCCGTGGTGACAACAGGCTCCTGCCAGGTAGGCCTGTCATTTGCATTCAGGATCCTACATTTCAAAGGTGACTGTCCCTTTCCATCCATCACTGGGCGAGGCTGGCCTTGTCTCCTGCCTGGTTGCTGCCTGGCTGGCTGAATGGCTCAGTTCCTGTCCAGGGACTCTTGGCTGTGGGTTCAGAGCATATTGCTGGAGGTGGTGGGCGGGTTAAATGGAAAGACCGCCAAGGTGGTTGAGGGAGTCCCTGCTGAGGGGAGTGAAGGCGGTTAGACAGGCAGCAGGAGGCAGTCCCCTGAGGACTTCTGCTCTCCCGGACAGCCAGGGCCTCTGCATGGCGGATCTCAGCTTCAGACGCAGAGTCAGAGGAGTGACAGTGGCCCCAGACTTTTCCACCTCTGCTGTCAATTATAAACGGGGGCTCCAGAGTGAGGATGCCAGCTGATCCAGATTTCCTTTTTTCCTTCGGTATTGGCAGTTGCCCACAGACCTAAGCCACAAACAACGCCCTTCCTGCTCTTCTGGTCTAAACAGCCTGTGTGGCAGGGGCAAAGGTGGGGGTTGAACCCTCTTCTCTGTCTGGGCATGTGGGGCCTCCACTCTGCATCTGAGATCTCCTGTGGGCATCACCGTTTCCAGTTGTAAATAATAGACCCAACTGGACTAGGGGCTTCCCTGGTGGCTCAGCTGGTAAAGAAACCGCCTGCAATGTGGGAGACCTGGGTTCGATCCCTGGGTTGGGAAGATCCCCTGGAGGAGGGATAGGTTACCCACTCCATATTCTTGGGCTTCCCTGGTGGCTCAAATGGTAAAGAATCCACCTGCAATTCGGGCGACCTGGGTTCGATCCCTGGGTTGGGAAGATTCCCTGGAGGTGGGCATGGCAACCCACTCCAGTATTCTTGCCTGGAGAATCCCCATGGACAGAGGAGCCTAGTGGGCTACAGTCTATGCGGTAGCAAAGAGTTGTACACAGCTGAGTGATTAAGCATGCATGCAGACTAGCGAAAAGGACTCTTACCAGTTCATGTAAGCAAACCCAGAGAACGACAGGAATGCTTGGGACAGGGGACTTGCCTGCTCTCAGAACCCTTTCTTTCCACATCTGCCCTCTGGTGTCAATGCCATCCTCCTGGTCTAGCTTTCTGCACAATCTTCCTAATGTCACCACATAAAAGAAGAGCCCTCTTCCCTTAAGTTCCCATTCAAAAATCATAGAGGAGTCTCTGATGGACTCAACTTGGGTCATGTGCCTCTTCCTGGACCAATCCCTGTAGTGAATGGTGATTAAATTATGTCTTGACTTGAGCAAACCCTCTTCTGGACAAGCCCTTGATCTGGAGGCCAGGTCTCTAGGCCTGTAAGATGTTAGTTCTCTTAAAACATTTGGGATCCTGGTAGATGATACAACAAGAAAATGAAGTAGAACTCTGTTTCCCTTTGTTTCAGATTTCTAGGGCTCAGTAGTCTACAGATGGTCTTGCTATTCACCAATGACTTTCCAGGTTCGGAAATACTGATGAGGCTCTCACTTTAGCACAGTCTTCCTCCCAGGGGCCCGGGACCACACAGTCTGCGCTAGATATGGGGAGGGACGAAAAGGCACAAGGGGAGGGGCGAGGCACCCTTGGGTGACCTGCTCTTTTCTCCTTCCCTGTAGATACCCAAAGAGGTATGTTCATGCTGACAGAGATGTCCCCTCTTTGGTAAGGAACAGCTGGGCAGCCTCTACGGACGGGCACCTGGCGACATAGCTTCCTCTGATGGAAGCTGGCTCTCCCACAAACCAACTCTACAGGATCTGGTGAGCTGGTAACCTTGAGACCTGGTAAAGACACTTGGGACCCACCCGCCAAGAAGGGCACAGTGGTAACCCTTGCCCCCGTGTGCCTGGCGCTCTGATCCAAACAAGATGACGGAAGCTCACTCAGGCTCCTGTTTATCTAGCTACCAGGAATAAATGCCCTCATGTCTGACAAGAAAAGGAAGCACCAATTTTATCTTTTTGGCTCCTGGTTTACAGCTGAGTTTGAGAGAAACATCATCGAGGTCTTACTTACCTGGGGTTTCCTAGTGCTGTCTCAGGCCTCAGTCAGCAATGCCAGTGGCCTCATGGGCAAGGGCTGGCAGGGCACACTTATAAGAATGCCTTGTCCACGCAGCTGGTACCCAGTCAGGCCCCAGCTCATCCCAGCCTGGCAGGCCTCCCCTCGACTGCATGCTGGGGACACCAGGGAATTCTTAGACATCTCATGCCCCGAGAAATTGTAGCAGAACCTCTGCGGTGATTCCAACGTGCAGCTGAGGTTAGGAACCACTTCTGTCTGGAGTTCCCTCAGCCAAAGTCTGTTATTCTGGGTATGTAGAGGTATGTTTGCCCTACTGTGCTTACCCCTACCCGCAGGTTCTCAACCTTGGCCACCTGGTAGCGTGTGCCAATGAAACCCAAGTTCACAGGCTCCTGCCCATGCCTTGTTCCAAAGGTGCTGACCACTGATCTACCCTGCCCGTTGACTCCCAAATGCATATTATTGGTTATGGCGGTAACAAAAAGGGGGTATGGATGATTCAAGGCAAGCCCTTGTCACTACCCAAAAGTCATTAAATGCAGACTTGTGTTAAGTCTGATGGATGGTGATTCCCATCAGAAATGGCCGGTTCCTGGGAGAGGCCCCTCTGCACGCCCGGCGGAGCCTCTCCCTGCAGAGTTTCCCTTGCCCTCTGTGTGTCTCCATGGATCCCGTGATCCCCAAGTACTGGGGGGTCTTTGGTCAGTGGTTCCAAACCACTGCTCAGAAGCCCATAGGGGTTCGTGAAAGCGTTAGCCTGCTGCCCCCTGCCCCCAGAGTCTCTGAGTCTGTAGGTCTGGCGTGGGGCTCAAGAACTTGGGTTTCTGAGTCCCCCAGGGCTGCTCGTGCTGGTCCTGGGCCACACACCGGTGGCTGGGCCAGGCCGTGGGGAGATGCAGTAGCCGGGGGCCTGGTGTGCATGTCTGTGTGGAGTCTCCAGTAAGATGGAGGGGTGCCAGCTCCTGCCTCCGTGTTCTCCACTTCTCACTCTGGCCTCGCGAATGAGGCTTCTGCAATCTGTCCCAGCCCTCGGTTCTTACTAGAACTCGATTTGCCTTTTTCCCAACATAACCCCCAGCCCCACTTCTCCGTCACTGGTACCTCCCTCTGCTGATTGCTGTCATCAGGGACAGCAAGAATGACATTTATCCCAGTCATGCTTAGACTTGGCCAAGACCTTGCTGGCATGCCCCCAGAGTATAAAAATTTTCAGGGAGGGATCCCAAGGCTGTGGCTGCCCTTGCACCCAGGTCATCAGGAGCTGGCTGGTGGGTCCCGTGGAGTCCTGACCAGGGCAGTGGGGGCTGGTGGCCCTGCCTTTCTCTCCTGTTTAGCAGACCTGGGATCTAAAGAGGGTCTGGTGACCATGCGTGGACACTGTGACTCTGGGGTGGGCAATCCAGCTCCGGGTCATGCAGAAGTCACTACCCTTGTAGCTTACCAGCACCTGCCCTCTGCCGCAGGTGTCTTGATGAAGATTGATCATAAAATACAGTGCTAAGGGAAGGCTTAATTACAGCAATAATAACATGGGCGCCTGTGTTTTCGGAGCACTCTGCGGCCACTAATTAGCTGGTGTCATCACTCCTAGCCTTCGCCTCCCTCCAACAAACAAGTGGGTCATGGGCGCATCTTTTCCCTCAGATGAGAGCCACGGCACCCAGGGCGGTCTGGCTGTGGCCGCCCCCTCTGTCTGCCTCCCTGACCGTCCAGCCTAACGCCCTGGTTACCTGGATGTGAAATTTTCCCAGCCAGATAAAGATGAACAGGCCCTTCTGGCTGCTGATGCTTGAGAGCTGGGATTTAAGCCACAGTCCTGTACTGGGTAGCTCAGAGCCACACCCCAGGTATAGATGCAGAGAGTCTGTTGGATTCAATGAGGGGTGATTCATGAGGACAAATATCCAGAGAGAAGCCAAGCACACAATGGAGATCCTGTTGACCAACCTTTATTTAGCCGGGAAGAGGGCAAGGGGTCTGGCCAGGGTCGTGTAGTCAAAGTCAGTGCCTCGACTGGGGCCGGGCACCCGGTAGGTGCTCAGAATACACCTGCTGATGGACACAGGGTGAGTTCGCAGAGTCCAAAGCCTATGGATTCTCAGTCAGTCAGTTTAGTCGCTCAGTCATGTCCGACTCTTCGCGTCCCCATGAACTGAAACATGCCAGGCCTCCCTGTCCATCACCAACTCCCGGAGTTTATTCAAACTCATCTCCATTGAGTCGGTGATGCCATCCAACCATCTCATCCTCTGTTGTCCGTCTGCTTCTCCCTCTGCCCTCAATCTTTCCCAGCATCAGGGTCTTTTCAAATGAGTCAGCTCTTCACATCAGGTGGCCAAAGTATTGGAGTTTCAGCTCCAACATCAGTCCTTCCAATGAACACCCAGGATTCTCAGCCCAGGGTTAAAGATCAGCGAGCCCTAAATCAACGCGATAGAGCCCAGCTCCACGGCCTTCATCTTCCAGGATGTGGGCAGACACTGACCCTGATGTTGCTCTGCGCAGCTGGCGAGTCACACGGACGTGCACCTGGGCCGGGACTTCTTCCTGGGCCGCCCGCCCGCCGCCCGCTCCAGCACCTACGTCAACCTGCGCGAGGTGTCGGCGCGCGTGCGGCTGCCTCCCGGGGAGTACGTGGTGGTGCCGGCCACCTTCCAGCCCTTCCAGGACGGTGACTTCTGCCTGAGGGTGTTCTCGGAGAAGAAGGCCAAGGCCCTGTGCGTGTCCTTCCCCTAAGGGCTGGTGGCGGGGGCTGCAGAGGGACCTGGCCCCGCGAGGGTGCAGGGCCCTGTCGGTGTGTGGGACCCACCCTGGCCCTGGAGGAAATGTCGCCCCTGCAAGCGTTCTTCATTAGGGGGGCCCCCTTCTCTCCCTCCACATTGATCTGTAGGAGGGGGAGAGTTTTCTTTCTAAAAAGGTCAAGAGAGGGCCTCAGTTAACAGCTGCGTGAGAGCATTTTCCTCCCAGCAGGGATGGGCGCCACATAGAGGAGGAGCTGGGTGAGGACACTGCCTCTTCTCTTACACACACCACACACTCAACACACACACCGCGTGTACCGTGCAGACACACCTCACATACACACACCCCACATATACAATGCACGCACATCTCACATACACACACCACGCACACCCCATATGCTGTGCACGTACATACCAACACACTACAGACATAGCACACACACTACACACACACCCTGCGCCTATACACACATACCATACATACATGCAGACCATATGTCCCTTACATTTATATACCACACATACACAGCACACACACACCTGATATACTTTCTGTACACACACACATCACATATACCACACAACTACACACCACACACATACTACCTACACACATAAAACCGCACACACACATAAACACCACATACACACACAACACATAGTGTAGCTCTCCGTGCCACACACATACACATACACACACATGACGCATACATGCCACACATACCTCATTTACTGTGCACCTTCCTACCAACACATTATAGACATACCACACACACTACATACACACCATGCTCATATACACACATGCCATACATACATGCAGATCACATATCCCTTACATATATGTACTACACATACACCACAAACACACCATACACACACCTGGTATACTTTCTTTCATACACACATACATCACTCACATATATACCACACATATACTACCTACACACATAAAACCACACACACACACTTAACACAGAGTATCGCCCCCCCATACCCCCCCACCACACACACACACACACATTGCACCACATACCATGTACATGTAAGCATGGACTCATGGGTTTTGGGCTTGGTGGCTCATTCCGCAGACACCACTTCAGCAGGGATTCACATAGCTGGGAAGATGAGATTAGTAACTGGGAAAAGTGGGGAGAGAATTCCCCAGATGAGTGGTCCTCCAGGGTGAATATTCTAGATTCCTTGAAGGGCCCACTGACCTTGGCAGCTCTTGTCTCTGGTGAAAAACTCAGGGTGGGGTGGGAGTTGGAGACATGAAGGGAGGGATCCTGGTTCAGTTTGTGCAATTTAGTGATAGTGGGAAAGGAGGTCTTGTGTTGGGAAACCAGTCCCTCAGGAGGGTCACAGACTTGATAAAAAAATCCAGCCATTAGCTATACGTTTTGTTAATACTTATCCATGTTTGCTTTTTCCTTTCTCTGTGTTTCAGGGAAATTGGGGATGTGGTAGTTGGAAACCCACATGAGGTATGCCACCTTTTAAAATGCCAAGCTCTGACACTGACTTGTATTAGTCATTCAGGGCTTCTTATTGATTGCCTAGGAATCCCCTAGACCCCTGAGCCTGGCTGGATGGGAATCTCTTGGGGCCAGGACCTTGGACCCCTCCTGTTTATCACCATGCCTCCCCTCCCCCGACGCAGTGCCCAGCACACAACAGACTTGCAGCAGATGTAGTGAATGATGCACGAATGAATTTTAAATCTTCACCTTTCATTTTTCTCAGTAAGTCCCATCTTAACTTTGCAACTGCCCTGCCTTTTAGCCACGACCCAGCGAGGTGGAGCAAGAAAACAGCCAGCTGAGGAGCCTGTTTGAGAAGTTTGCCGGGAAGGTGAGTGGAGGGCGAACATGAGCTCCCACACGGGCAGGAGAGTGTTTGAGGAACCTCAGGTCACTGAGTCTTTTGCCTTTTGCATCTGCTTGAGTAGCAGGGGCCACAGGTCTCAGGCCTCCCGGGTCTGTCTGTTGCCTCTTCCTGTCTGAAGCCTGTGCTGGTGAGAGGACCGTGGGACTGACCACTGCCACTTTTCTTGCTGTGTCGTCTTGCATTTTGAGAAAGTAGAAAATTTGAGTCTCCGGGTCCTGCCAAAAGCCTTTCTATGTGTAAACTGGCCCTGGCGGATCAGAGCCCTGACTGGAAAACCAGGAGGCAAAACTTCCCTATGTCCTTCAGAGATGAGAGGAATCGTCCAGCCCAGGTGGCCGGCAGCTCAGTCAACCAGGCCTGGGCTAAGTTCTTCCTGTCCCGCTGCCTCACCGGCCCTCAGGGACACCGGCAGAGCTGGGCTTGTGGAAGTCAAGCTTGGCCCAGGTGCCAGCGCCGCTCGGGGGCTTGTGGAGCTGGTGAGCCCGCTGCTCCTTCCCGCCCCATCCCGCTGGCTTGGCTTATTGTGATCCCAGTCCTGAGGGGCTGTAAGTCAGAGCAGACTCAGGACTCCAAGTGTCACAACTGGCCCCATAAATTCAGCGAATGCACTGCTCTTTGAAGGATAATAGGTTTGCCAGAGGGCCTGGAAAGGCGTCCGCATCTTGGACTGCTATAACAAGGTACCGCAGACTGGGAAGCGTTTGAACAACAGAAATTTATTTCTCACAGTTTTGGAGGCTAGCAGTCTGAGATCAGGCTGTCGGCCTGGTCAGGTGCTGGGGAGGGCTGTCCTCTAACTTGCGGACTCATGTCTCACTGTCTCATGTGGCAGAAAGAGAATTAGGAATCCGTCTGGGGTCCCTTTTGTAAAGACACTGATTCCACTCATGAGGGCTCCACCCTCATGACCTAATCACCTCCCAAAGGTCCCTCCTTCTATACTTTAACATTGGGGGCTGGATTTCAACATACAAATTTTGGAGGATGCAAACATTCATTCTGTAACAGAAGGAGAAAAACAATGCTCTCCACCCCTGGAACTCTCTGAGCCACTTTATAGACTTAAGGACGGAGCAGAAGAAAATACATTAAAATCCTTTGCAGAAAATAAAACCTGGGAACACAATTCCTTTATATAGCCATTAAAGAAAGCTTTGCAAAAATGAGGCAATTTATGTTTTAGATAGACACTTAGACCAATGTTTTTGCTAACAAAACCTTGTTGCCTTAGCTTCCAAGGGACCATATTTTATTTGGAACATCAAGACTGATAACAAAATAAAAGCTCCTATTTGTGTAGTTCTTCATGTACCTTATCTTTTCTCTCTTGCCTGGTGGGGCAGTATTATTCACTGTCACTGTTCTCCTGGTGTAGGGTCGGGCCCAGAGAGGTTAAGGAGCTGGCTGGGGCACGAGGCCTTTGAAGGACAGTCAAGGTCTCAATAGCCCATTCTTGGCCTGGAGGCTTTTCAGGATGTCCCCAGGTCTTAAGATTGAGACTGACCGTTCTGTGCCTGAATGAGGCCAGCTGCACTCACAGGCAAGCTCACAGCTCCCACCTTACTTGTTTTGAGTTGAGCAGCCTGGGCCTGGCTGGTGGAAGAGGAGAGCAGTGGGGCCCCATGGGGACAAGTGTTAAGACCACACCTCACCAGCGGAAGTGACTTGGCTAAGGTCCTGTGGCAAATAAGGGGGGGAGTCACAACTGGAACCCAGATTTTAGTCTGGCGCCCCTTCTCTGAGCCTCACTGTCTCTGAGCTTCATTTGTCATCCTGCCTGAGGTCTGTCCTCCAGCTGGCTGTTAAGGGACCAGTAATTCTGAGGCTCAGAGTTTATCTCCTGCCCTGTGCAGGTGAAAAACCCTAGTCCCCAAAATGTCTACTTCCGGGATGAGATGGGCTTTATGTGAAATAGCAGCTCCCACAGATGCAGTGGGGAAAGCGAGTACTTTGGGGTGAGACAGACTTAGGTTTCGAATCTCAGTTCTGCCACTGGCGACTGTGAACTCCAGCAATTATATCCTAGGCAAGTGGCAATTACATGGTAAAGGTATCTGGTGTTTGGTGGTCGTTTGGTTGCTAAGTCGTGTTCAACTCTTGCGACCCCATCGGCTATAGCCCTCCAGGCTCCTCTGTCCATGGCATTTCCCAGGCAAGAATATTGGAGCGAATTGCCTTCTCCAGGGGATCTTCCCTGACCCAGAGATTGAACCTGGGTCTCCTGCATTGCAGGCAAATTCTTTCCTGACTGAGCTACCAGGGGAGCCCATATGGTGTTTAGCAGTTTACAGAGTCACAGCTTCCTTCGCCCTAACACGAGGACAGGGCTGTTGTGAGGTTTTGAGGATGCTCCACCCCAGGCACGTGGCCGTCAGCACTGGCTTCTTTACTGCTTCTCGCCATGTCTTGGTCTTGGGTTGGGCAAGTCTGAGAAACGCAGTAGACCCTGTGTGACGCCTTCTGCTATGAGTGTACCCTGTTCACTCCATTAATATACCCTTCTCGCTGGGCTATGGGGGCCCCTCAAAACCTGTGAATTGGATTTTTTTTTTTAAGCTGTCACAACTTTTTTTTTTTTTTGGAGCAAATAATTTTTATTTTTTACAAATACACCAAAGAATCATGCAATGCTGCCAGCATTGGATGCAGTCCTGGGCCACAAGTCTGCACATTCCTTTGCAACTGGTCCTGTGATGGCAGAACCTTTCATCTCGCCTTTATTGTTTACTATGACCCCTGCATTATCTTCAAAATAAAGAAACACACCATCTTTTCTCCGGTATGACTTTCGTTGTCGAATTACCACTGCTGGATGTACCTTCTTTCTGAGCTCTGGTTTGCCTTTCTTGACTGTAGCCATCACCATGTCACCCACACCAGCAGCAGGAAGTCTATTCAATCGTCCCTTGATCCCCTTCACAGAGATGATATACAGATTTTTGGCTCCTGTGTTGTCAGCACAGTTGATCACGGCTCCAACCGGAAGACCCAAGGAAATCCGGAATTTCGCACCAGAGGACCCACCACGTCCTCGCTTCGACATCTTGAAGGCCGGAAAGGGACAAAAAGCTAGCTGTCACAACTTTTTAAAAATCATAGGGTCAGTGGACCTGGTGTCTGAATCTATGTGAATTTTGTGTTTTGAAACATGCATTAGGGTCTGACATGCTTTGCATTCGGGTTCCTCTTTCTAGGATTCTGAGATCAGGGCCAATGAACTCAGGACAGCTCTGAATGAAGTGTTTTCCAAACGTAAGTTCTTCCTGGGGGCTTTTCAGGAAGTCTGGGAGCCTAAGAGAGATGTTGGGAGCCAGTGAGGGTAGGGGTGGGCACTGGGCCAGGGGCACTGCAGATGGGGACCAGGGCCCTGATTCCTTCTGTACTGAGAGAGCATCTGGCAGGTGGGAGAGGCTGGAGCAGAGGGGTGGTGGGCAGGGTGAGAGCGGGGCTGATGCTGAGGCCAGTCAGCCCTACAGCAAAGAGTCCTGAGTCCTGGCGGGAGAGAAATTGGGCTGAGAGTGACGTAAATGAAATTCACCCACAAAATTAATAACTTGGTACTGTGGAAACTATGCAGCTTGAAAATCCTGTTCTGTAGTGCACCTCTGGGGAAGGTGTGTGGAGGGGACGATTCTGCCTGTCCTCGATTGTGACAGTTCTCCATCTTTAGACTTTAGCAAGTCCTGAGGGCTGGCAGAGGATCAAACTGCACCCAGGCTGGGGAAAAGCATGCTCTTGTCCTATGAACCGCAGATCCATGTGATCTGGCACGGAGCTGGTTTTTGCCCAGCCCGAGGATGGGCCAGGTTAAGGCTTCTGGCTGGTCAAGTGATGGGTATGTTCACCCATCGCAGCAGAACCGAGTCTGATCGTGAAGGACACAGGAGCAAAGCCAGACGTGAGCCCACCCTGGGACTGAGCACCTCCCCGGGGTTGAGAGCCCAGGCTTGGAGGCCCTCCCCACCCTCTGCTCCAGCTACTCCTCCTGCCTGGCAGAGGAAGAGCCCAGGGAAGTGGAGAGGGCTGCAGGGGTTTTGGCGGCTTCCTGCCTTGGCTTTCAGGTGTGAGCAAGGTGAGCATGGAGCCAGGGATGGCTGTAGATTCCAGAGATGCCTGCAATTTAGCAGTAACATAAACAGCTACTGTTTGAGAAGCTGTGTGTTGTGGTTAAAAGCTCGGGCAATGGAGCCAGATGGCCTGCATTTAGATCCCAGCTCTGCCTGGGTTATGTGATCTTGAGCAAATTATTTAACCTCTCTGGGCCTCTGTTTCCTTATCTATAAAATGGGTATGAAGGTATTTAGCACATGGGGTACTGTTCTAAGAGGGCTTCCCTGGTGGCTCAGTAGTCAAGAATCCACCTGCCAACCCAGGAGACACAGCTTTGATACCTGGGTTGGGAAGATCCCCTGGAGAAGGGAATGGCAAGCCACTCCAGTATTCTTGGCCGGGAAATTCCATGGACGGTGAAGCCTGGAGGGCTGCAGTCCATGCATGCGTGCTAAGTCACTTCAGTCATTTACAACTCTTTGTGACCCTATGGACTGTAGCTCACCAGACTCCTCTGTCCATTGGATTTTCCAGGCAGGACTGCTGGAGTGTGTTATCATGCCCTCTTCCAGGGCATCTTCCCAATCCAGGTATCAAACCCACATCTCCTGAGACTCCTGCATTGCAGGCAGATTCTTCTCTGCTGAGCCACTGGAGAAACCTGGGCTTCAGCCCAAGGGGTCTCAAAAGAGCTGGACTTGAGGTAGAGACTAAACAAAATAGAGTGCTTTGAACAATACCCGGCCAATAAAAAGTTAGTTGATTTATTAAGAACTTGCCATAGACCGAGCACCGTGCTAAGAACTTCACTTACATTATCTAATTTTATCACCAGTTGGCTTTGGGGGCAAGTATTATTGTTGTTCTTATTGATGGAGCAGAATAGCACAGCTTAGAGATATTAGCTTGCTGAAGTCCCATGGCTTGTGGGTAGCAAAGCTGAGATTCTGACATTGAACCCCGAGGCCAGCATCCACCTCTGGGACCCCAGGGGCCTCTTCCCAGGAGCCCGCCGCCAAGCTCGCTTGTTTATGTGGAGCTTGCGTTCGGCTCTGTACTCTGGCTGGTGTCTTTGGTGGCTTCCTACCAGGGAGATGATTTCCCGTGCCTTCAAATGATCCTGACTCCCCCTTTTCCATTTAAATATTTAGGAACAGACATCAAATTTGATGGATTTGACATCAACACTTGCAGAGAGATGATCAGCCTGATGGATGTATCCTTTAAATGCCACATTATTTTTACTCTGATCCTGGTTTTCTCAACTCCTCCACCTGAGATGGAGGCAGGGGAAAGAGAGAGAAGGGAACCAGCATTTTCTGAGCATATGGCAGGTACCCTGCCTGAGCTGGAAAGAAACATGTCATTTCATTTTTGCTCCTCAGTAAGCCTGAGATGCTCTCTGTTTTACAGGTGAAGAAACTGAGGTGTGCCATGTTTAAATGACTTGTTTAAAATCCTCTTTTTTTTTTGGGTGATTCACATTTTTTTTTTCATTTTCATCAAGAACTTAATTTTTTTTATTGGAGCATAATTGATTTCCAATGTTGTGTTGGTTTTTGCTGTGTAATGACGTGAATCAGTCATAATTACATATATATCCCCTCCCTTTTGAACCTCCTCCCTACCCCCATCCCACCCCTCTAGGTCATCACTGGGCACCACGCTGAGCTGCCTGCGCTATCCGGCAGCTCCGCACTAGCTATCTGTCTTGCACATGGTGGTGTATACATGTCAATAGTTCAGAGATAGCAGAAATGGCATTTGTGACCTTCCTCCCATTGATCACAGCATCCCTCCCAGGAGGCTCGGTGCCTTCTCCTTCCTCTCCCTGGCTCTCCCCATCCCCATCTGTCTCTGTCTCCCAGCCTTGACACCAATTATTGAGAATTTGATCACATGGCATAGAACGCGTTTGTTCACTCTGACCTGATTTAACCCTTGTTCTATATGGAAGAATGAGACAGATTTGGGGAGGAATGGAGATGATCAGGGCATTCCAGGTGGAAGGAACAACTTGAGCACAGAGTGGGGGAGGGCAGGGCACCCCTTCCTTGAAATGTGTTCTTGGGTGGGTCCAGGTTACGGTGTCCCATGGTGCTGCTGGTGAAGGTGAGTTCTTTGAAAACTGGAGCCTTGGAGGATGTACTTCAGCTCTGCGGGCTTCATCTGAGATGAGATATGATGACCTCTAGGGTGGGAGGGATGAGTTGTACTTGCACGGTGGCCATGCACAGAGGGCCTGGACGGCCAGCTTGAGTCTGCTCACCCCTGCCTGGGGTGTCAACAGCGGAGAGCTGGTTCTATCCTTGTGGTCCCAGAGTTTCAGATGCTGGCCCTGTCCGGCCCTGTGGCCTTCTAGGAGGCCAGCGTGGTCCTTCAATGAGGTCCACGTTTAACGTGTGGGCCTTGAAGAACTGTTAACTGTTGATTCACTTTTCTGCAAATGGTTCCTTGATTTCTGAGTCATTCGTCTCAAACTTGCCTATGAGCTTTCATTTAGATTTGAGGGTGACCTTTTGGTCCCTCAAACTTTGTTCCTAAGGGTGTTTGCCCTTAGGAAGACTGTGCTTCAGTCTTTCTTCAAGAGTATCTGTTTCACCATTTGGATGCTTTGGGGGCAGTGGTTTTGAACCAGAAAATATAGCAGAACTGCCCATGGTGAAAGTGAAAGTTGATCAGTTGCGTCCAACTCTTTGTGACCCCATGGACTATACAGTCCATGGAATTCTCTAGGCTAGAATACTGGAGTGGGTAACCGTTTCCTTCTCCAGGGGATCTTCCCAACCCAGGGATCAAACCCAGGTCTTCCACATTGCAGGTGGATTCTTTACCATCTGAGCCACAAGGGAAGCCCCATGGAGCCTTGTGTAAACACTTTTTGCGTGTGTGCTCAGTCATTCAGTGGCGTCTGACTCTGCAACCCTTTGGACTGTAGCCCACCACGCTCCTCTGTCCATGAGATTTTTTCAGGCAAGAATACTGGAATGGGTAGTGATTTCCTCTTCCAGGGGATCTTCCTGACCCAGGGATGGAACCCATGTCTCCTGTGTCTCCTGCATTGCAGGTGGATTCTTTACCTGTTGAGCTATCGGTATCAAGACATAATTCACATGCCATCCAATGTACCCATTTAAAGGGTACAATTTCGTGGATTTTTTTTAGTATATTCACAGAGTTGTGCAAATACTACCATCCATTTTAGAGCTTTTTATCACCCCTAAAAGGGACTCTGCACCCATATTTGCAGTCACTCACGTTTTTACTCAACAACTCCAAACCCTCTGCCCTACTACCACTTTCTGTCTCTATAGATTTGCCTATTCTGGATATTTTCATGTTAATAGAATCATATAACATGTAGTCCAGTGTAGCATTTATCAGCACTGAAAAATCATGGGGCTTTAAAAATCCAGTTGCCTGGGTCTCACTCCTGGAGATGCTGATTCAGGGCATCTGGGATAAGGCCTGGGAGTTGGCAGCTCCATCTGGAATTGTGGATATGTTGGTGCTCTGACACAGGGCTTTGGAACAGACAGGAGACCCAAGTTCTGGCCTTACCACAGTTATTGAATATTGTGAACCTCATGTCTTCTCCTGGAAAATGGGATAACAGAGTGTAGCTCTGTGGTCTTGTGAGGCTGAAATGAGATACAAGTATACACAGGTCTGGCTAGACCATAACGTTAGGCCTCTTTGCGGGTTACTATCCTCAGGTATGTTGGTAGACATATTAGTGAGGATTTGAAGGTTGTGGTGCATCCAACACTCAGCATAGATTGTGGAGATAAAAGACATAGACTTCCTTAAAGGGTGAGGTTTACAGTCTTGAGTGTAAACATGAATTTTTGTTTGGCTAGTTGAAGGAGGTGAGAATGATGGTCTGTTTCAGAATTTTAACAACCTGGGTTGTAACACACTGGTGTCTATTAATTAATTGGGATGGCTAAGAAAAGGGTAGTTTCAAAGAGACCAAACTTCACAAACAGTTCAAAAGCACCCCCCAGGTCTAGCCTAGTGCTTAATCAGTATTCACTAGACACAGAGGATTGCATAGAACCCCTGGCCCATTTCGGCTGAGCCAGCTGTCCTTCTGGGACCATGTCCCAGGATCCCTGAGAATCAATGTTGAGAAGCTCAGAGCCCCTTCAAAGCACCAGACAAATATGTGTAGCTGCGTGTGGCTAAGAATCCCAATCTTATGCTCCTGAGGACTCTTCTGGTACCATTTTGCCGTCAACTCTAATATCAATGGCAGACATTTAAATCCGGAGGAGAATTTACTACAGATTGTTTAGTTCCACCCTCTCAATGTCCCATGATGATGAGGATGCTGGACACTAAATGAATGATATTGTAGGAGGGCTTTAGGCTCCTGACTTGCCCTTTGCCCCTAGCTCTGCGCCTGACCTCAAACGAGGGCCTTCGTGAGCATTTGACTCTTTAATCTTTATTTGAACTTGCCTTCCACCAACCCTTCCCACCATGACCCCCAGGGCCCTGCTTACTGCAGACATGGATGTTCACTGAGGTCTTAAGACACTCACTGTGCAAGGTCACAAGAGAATGTGATCCATAAAGCTTGTGGAATCTGGGCTTGATTGTGTTGGCCTTAACCCACCTAGAGCAATGGGACAGGCTCCCTGGAACTGGTGGAATTCAAGACGCTCTGGTTGAAGATCCGGAAGTATCTGGTAACCCTTTTCTCCCTGTTGGGTCACCTCTGGGCTCTGGTCACTCTCCTCGTTCTGTTTCTAGTGCCTTGCCCTTCCTGACACCCATTCCTGATCAATCTCCTCCTGTCCTGGTCTGACCAGATCCTTCATCATGGTCAAAGTGAACACCAGACCTGGACACATTGTCCAGGAGGGACTAAGCAGGCTCCCGCGCCAGTGCTGCCAGAGGAAGTTCACACTGTTCACAGAGCAAAAGGACTAGCACTGGCTCTCAGCACAAGTTCCTATTTTTGTTCTGGAAACTTCTTGGGAGGAATCAGTGAAGCCTCTGAGGGTATCCCCGGCCTGTTGAGGAAGCAGTGGGGTGGAGGGAGATGGTTCTTCAGGGGCTGCAAACAGCTGTTTTCACCTGGAATTTTTCTCCTGCTTTAGGAGATCTTTCGGGAGACTGATCATAACCACTCGGGGACTATTGATGCCCATGAGATGAGGACAGCCCTCAAGAAGGCAGGTGAGGACACATCTTGCAGGCAAGATCTTGAGACCAGGATGTGCTCATTTTAAATGTGCTTAATATGATGGTGGTTGCTGATGACTGTCAGTGGTAATTACCTTATGTTGGATGTCAGTGTGATAACAAAGATGTGTTGAGTACCTTCCTTATCTGGGGAGCAGGGAAGGATTGCAGTTGCTGGATTCTTTAGAGTTTTTCCAAGGACTTTGCCTGTTCCTGGGAAGGTGACAGCAATCACAGGACCGGGCTGTGAAGGGGGTGGGCAGGAGAGGCAGTCTTTTCACCTTCCCTGTTTTTTTTTTTTTCTGTGGTCCATGTGATGCAAAGCTAAGTTAGTGCTGGAGCTCCAGGCCTATTTTTGGACCAGGGAGGAGGTTCATCCTGTTGGGGATTTTCTAAAAGGAAACTGATTTGATGGCCAGAATCCTCTGGTATCCTTTGAAGGGGGCAGCATCAGGCCAGAGTTAGCCGTGAGTTCTGTTGGAGACAGAACTGAGCCCCCCGTCCCATCTATGACCCTGGCTGCCCTCTGCCCACAGGTTTCACCCTCAGTGACCAGGTCCAGCAGACCATCGCCATGCGGTATGCATGCAGCAAACTCACCATGGACTTTGACAGCTTCGTTGCTTGTATGATCCGCCTGGAGACCCTCTTCAGTGAGTCACTCTCTCCTTTAAGTGAAAGTGTTAGTTGCTCAGTCGTGTCCGACTCTTTTCGACCCCATGGGCTGTAGCCCACCATATTCCTCTGTCCATGGGATTTTCTAGGCAAAAACACTGGAGTGAGTTGCCCATTTCTTCTCCATGGGTTCTTCCCAACTCAGGCATCAAACCGGGGTGTCCTACATTGCAGGCAGTTTCTTTACCATCTGATCCACCAGGAAAGCCCCTCACCCCCACCCTGACCCATCCCACTTCTCCCGAGGTATAGGAAGGGGCAGGGGGCAGGGCCAGAAGGCAGAACCAGAAAGGCTTAGGTAACTGTGGCATCCTTGGGAGACGGGCAGCAGAAACTGAAGGGGCTGAGGAAGTCCAAGCTGGCCATGCCCAAGGTGTTGCCTTCTCTGGGAGATTTTTGTGCACCTATTGTGTGCAGTCACTGCAACAAATGAATGAGTCCTGCAGTGGTCCTTAAATGGCTTTTGGTGTCTGTTCTCATCTATGGGAATCATACTGAGAGCAGGTATCACCTCCCAGAGAGGGAATAGGGGTCTCCTTCTGGGAGGCTGTGGATAGTCTTCTGCCCGCTTGGGCTTATGCTGTAATGCTGTGCTTAGCCCCTCAGTCGTGTCTACTCTGCAACCCCATGGACTGTAGCCCACCAGGCTCCTCTGTCCTTGGGACTTCTCAGGCAAGAATACAGGAGTGGGTTGCCATTTCCTCCTCCAGGGGATCTTCCTGACCCAGGAATCAAACCTTTGTCTCCTGCATTACAGGCAGATTCTTTACCCACCGAGCCATCAAGGAAACCCCATGGTTATGCTAATATATCCTACTAAGGGAGGGAGTTCGGGGAAAGGTCAGGCAGCCAGAGGCGAAGCTTAGTGTCTAGATTACCCACACACGGGGCAACCACCCCTGTTCTATGACCCCAGTACCCACCCCTGTTGAAAGAATTACAAGTTTCTAGAGCTCTGAGTGTGCAGATGGCACAAGGAACTTCTCTGCTCACAACTGGAAGTTTGTCTAATTGGGCGAGGGGACATCTGCTGCCAGAAGCCCACTGCTCTGGGCTCTGGATCCAGATCTAGCTTTCTGGGGTCCCTGAAGCAAGGTGGGAGCTGGAGAGGGTGCAGGAGATGGAGGGAGGGTGCCAGGTGGGAGTGGGGTGGACAGAGGCAGCTCTCTGGCTGTTCCAAAGTCCAGGAGCATCCTTGTCTGACTTCATTCCTGCTCTGGCATTCTAGAACTGTTCAGACTTCTGGACAAGGACCAGAATGGCATTGTCCAGCTCTCTCTGGCTGAGGTAAGTAGTTTTGGTAAACTGCTTGCTCGTGGTACTTGAAAATTCTTGGATGGTATTGCTGCTGTTTATTCACACTGGCTTATCTTATTTCTTTGTGGAAACAGTGCATGTTCTGTGGCAGGCATTTCTGGGAGGAGTGTGATTGTCATCAATTATATCTCAGATCATTTCAAGGATGCAAGCTCTTATTAATTTGGATGAAATTGGGGGTGGTGGGTACAGTTTAAAGCGCCTAACTTCTCAGGCAAAATGTCTTTGATTGACATATAGAAGGAAATCAGAAACAAAGAATTAAATTGCAACAAGGTAGAGTAGATGCTAAAGTTCCAATACTTTGGCCGCCTGATGCGAAGAGCCAACTCACTGGAAAAGACCCTGATGTGGGGAAAGATTGAGGACAGGAGGAGAAGGGGGCATCAGAGGATGAGATAGTTGGATGGCATCACCAACTCAATGAATGTGAATCTGAGCAAACTCCGGGAGATGGTGGAAGACAGGGAAGCCTGGCATGCTGCAGTCCATGGGGTCAAAAAGAGTCGGACACGACTGAGTGACTGAACAGCAACAAGAGTAGATGCAAAATAAATGGGTGTAAATTACTGTGTACAAGGCTCATAATATCTTGGGCAGAGAACGCCATGCCCTTCCCCATGGCGGGCCGCAGCCTATGCAGCAGGGCCTTTACTGGCCTGTGGAGTTGCAGGTGTGGGCATGTCCCAAGGATTCAGGAGGGGGCCATTACCCTTGACCTGCTTCTCTGGCAGAAGAGCTAGAGCACTGGCTTATTCCTGGTCTTGCATAGTTGTCTGGGTACAACCACTTCTCTTCTGCTCTAAAATGGTAGTGTTGCTGACCCCTTTCCAGTGATCTAGGGAGGGCCTTCCTAGAAGCATATTAGGCTCAATTGGGTTGAACCTGAAATTTTTGGAAGTCCCTGTGGGGCTAAGCTTTTCCTAAGTCATATGTCCGTGGGGCTCTGGCTGGGGGGCAGTGACTTAGTGAAGGGCTTCCTTGCTTCCTCTTATGGAGCAAGGCACTTCCTGGGGAAGGAGCTAGAGCAAGTCACACCCATGTGAGGCTGGAGAACATCTCTGGTGCAGTCACACCAGCTCCCAGAGGACCCATGAGCTTACTTCTATCCCCTTCTTTTGCAGTGGCTGTGCTGTATGTTGGTGTGACCCAGGGTTTTGGTCATCAGTGACACTCCCTGACAACCTGCCTGCATCTTTTCTCCCCTTCTTTGCAGTTTTGTGAACTTTTATCCTTAAGGGGGCATTCATTAATTTTTCATCTCTTCCTTGTTGTTTATTGTTTCCTGAAATCCTGGCCTCTCCCACTGGAGCCATCAGAGAGTCTGAGATCTCTTTCAACAGCATTTAAGCCGATCCCAGGGCACTGTGGAGGGACAGAAATTGATTAAAGTTGTGGGCCAAAAGACTTTCTGCCTTTCTATATTGATACACAATCTGGGGGTTGCTCTAGGGTGTTCCTGCTTTAGGAAAGAAGATGTCCTTGAGAAATGACCCGGCCCAAAGCTGCTGCAAGATGAGAAATGCGGGTGGATTTCTTGGAGAAGAGGCCTGCTACAGATTAAGCTGCCTCTGGGGACCACCTGCAGGAGAGGAGCTGCTCCCCACCCTTCTGAGATCGGTGCTGGGATGAGCTGCAAGGGGAGGAGTTCTTTCTTCCTCACTTGCCGATGGAGAAGTTGCTACACTCCAAGTCAGCATTGCCCAAAGGAAAGCAAAGGGATGGAAAATTCTTGCTGGGGGGAATTCTTACCTGAGGGGAGATGAGGTTCAGGTTAGTTTTGCTCACACTGGAACAGGAGGGATCTTTGTTATTGGTAAGAAAATAGATGCCATAGCCCAGCGTCCTGATGGGCACTTGGGGATGGAGCTGACTCTCCCGCGCTGACTGTGGAAATGAAGTATAAAGGAAGATGAATGTCTTAGTCTGTCTGGGCCGTGCTAGCAAATACCAGAGACCAGGTGGCTTATAAAACACTGACATTTATTTTCTCACAGTTCTGGAGGCTAGAAGTCTGAGATTGGTGCAGCACACTTGGGTTCTGGTGAGATCTCCTTCTGGGCTACAGACTGTGGACTTCTCATTGTGTCCTTACATGGCAAGAGCACAGGGGAGGCAGGCTGTCTCATGACTCTTGTAAGGGCCCAGTCCTAATCCCGAGGACAGAGGAGCCTGATGGGCTAGTAGTCCATGGGGTCACAAAGAGGCGGACACGACTGAGTGACTAACACTTCAGTCCCATTCGTGAGGGCCCCACCCTCATGATCTTACGTGTGTGTGTGCGTTCGCGCGCGTGTGTGTGTTAGTTGCTCAGTTGCATCTGACTCTTTTGTGACCCCATGGACTGTAGCCTGCCATGTATCTCTGTCCATGGAATTCTCCAAGCAAGAATACTGCAGTGGATTGCCATTCCCTTTTCTGGGGGATCGTCCTGACCCAGGGATCGAATCTGAGTCTCCTGCATTGCAGGCAGATTCTTTACAGTCTGAGCCACCAGGGGAACCCTGATCTTATCTAACTAACCCTAATTATACCCCACAGTCCGACTTCCTAAAACTACCACACTGTGATGTGGGGTTTCAACATCTAAATTTGAAGGGGACACAACCATTCAGTCCATTGCAGTGAGCAACTGGAGAGAAAACACACACACCTTGGTTTCAGTAGTAGTCTGATTAAGGGTTAGTCTGATTAAAATGCAACTAGATGAATCTTTTTTTTATAGGAACATGACTTATAAGTATGGCATAACACAAGTCAGATTTTTTAAAAAAAATTGAAGTATAGTTGATTTACAAGATTGTATTAGTTCAGGTGTAAAGCAAAGTGATTCAAATATATATATATATTTTCAGATTTTTTTCTATTATAGATTACTATAAGATATTAAATACAGTTCCCTGTACTATACAGTAAATCTTCATTGCCTGTCTATTTTATGTAAAATAGTTTGTATCTGTTAACCCCAAACTCCTCTAATTTATCTCTCACCGCCACCCTTTCCCCTTTGGGAACCATAAGTTTGTTTTCTATGACTGTGAGTCTGTTTCTGTTTTGTATATTAATTCATTTATATTATTTTTTAAGATCCCACATATAAGTGATATATAATATTTGTTCTTCTCTGTCTGACTTACTTCACTTAGTATGATATTAAGTCTATAATGTTACTGCAAATAGCATTATTTCATTCTTTTTTATGACTGAGTAATATTCCATTGTATATATATGTGTATACATATATGTATATATAATACATATATATGTGTATATACCACATTTCTTTTATACATTCATCTGTAGATGGAGACTTGGTTTATATCTATGTCTTGACTATTGTAGTCTTTTCAAGTTAGTGTTTCTATTTTTTTCTGGATATATACCCAGGAATGGAATTTCTAGATCACATGGTAACTCTATTTTTAGTTCTTTAAGAAAACTTCCTACTGTTTTCCATAGTGGCTGCACCAGTTTACATTCCTACCAACAGTGTGGGAAGGTTCCCTTTTCTCCACACCCTCTCTAGCATTTATTATTTGGAGACTTTTTGATGATGGCCATTCTGACTGACCACCAGTCAGCATTACTACTGCCGTCAACTCTCCCACGGCCCAGGGGGAAGCAGGGCCCTTAAGTGAAGGGGATGCTGGGAGGTCTGGGACCTCACTTCTAGGGAGGGGCTTTGGGATAGCGCCCCTGAAGAGAAAGCTCAGTTCATTGGAGGGTGGAGAAGGAGCTCTATTTGGTTGGCGGCCTGTGGGTCTAAGAAGGAAAAAGGTCCTTCCTCATCCAGTCAGAGGTATGAGGGAGTGTTCATCTCCAGAGCTGTCATCAGCAGGACCCCGGAGGTGTTATGTCCAAGTGCCCTAGGCTACCTGGAGATACCACCCAGCCTGCCCCGTCAGCCCAACTGGTGTTAGTCTGATGCTCACTGACCAGGTTCAGGTCCCTGTCCCACTGTATTTAGAAAAAAGTGCTGCACTATATAGTACAGGGAATTATATTCAGTATCCTTTGATAAACCATAATGGAAAAGAATATGAAAAAGAATATATGTATGTATAACTAAATCACTTTGCTATAAAGTAGAAATTAACCCAACATCATAAATCTACTATACTTCAATAAAATAAATTAAAAAAATATTAAATGCTACAAAGCAATTCTAATATTTTGAATATGGCATGGCTACCTAAATGAAAAGTACTGTGTTATAATCGACTTGCAACTATTAGCTTTATTTTGAAGGCCTGCAGGCTACTTTAGGGGATAGTTTGCTAACCAAAAAGCTTATATACTTTCAATACGAAATGGATTTGCTTTAGGGATCTTGGGTCCCAGGTAAGGTTTATCCTGAAGACTTCTTACCAATACAGCCCATTAGGCCGGTTAAGGATTTTAACACCACATAGCTTTCCTGTTAAACATTTGAGAGTTTGCTTTATGCTCCTTTCTTTCCCCTGGATTAAGGCAGCGGAGCTGCTGCATTTTGGTGTGGCCTCTTCATCGCCCCAGATGCGGCTGTGTCTCAGGAAAGCTCAGCCCCTCCTGAATGGTGGCTCCTGGATGGATTCCCCAGGGAGGCTCCCCTGGCTTCCCACACTCCCCACTCGCTATTGCACTGTATTTCACTGCCTCCCTGTTGCTATGGATGGTCTGTGAATGCAGTGTTCCCAGTTCGTCCAGAGCCTAGAAGAGTGCCCGTGCAGAGTAGGTGCTCAGTGAATGAAAACCGTGTCCTTTCCTTTGCAAATGAGGAGGCTCTGTAGCTTGGGTCCCACTTGGTTTTCCCAACAGACAGTGTTTGCACTGGTCCCTCACGACAATTTCCAGCAGCAGAAGCCCTAGGGGGGCTGCTGATGTTTGGATTAGAGCCAGCCTCTGTGGGTGGGTGAAGGGCTGGGGGGATGGGAAGAAGATGTGTCCCTTGGGGGGTCCCCTGATGAGCTGCTCCCCCCCCACATACACTCAGGGCAAGGAGTAGAGGGAGCTGTTGCCGCCAGAGACATGGCCACCTCCTGTGATTTGTGCAAAGAATCCATGGGGGCTCTTGGGTTCCCCACGTTCTGGAAGGAGAGTGAAGTGGCTCAGCTGGAGGCTCAAGGTAGCCTGGGAGGCAGCTGTGGGGGTTGGGTGACCCTCCCTCCCTTCCTGTCCATCCTCTTCCACCTACAGAGTCCTGTCACCTCTCAAAGGCAGAGTTTGTTTCCTCATTAGTAAATGCAGAGACACACACGCTCCCATGCAGCCCCCAGACCCAACTGAGACCTCAGGGAACAGGGAACCTGATGATGGGGTGGGAAGCGATCAGGGTGTAGCAGATATCCTGGGTAATTCCACACTAGCAAGTCATCTCTAGCAAGTCCCCTTTCCTGCGAGAGCTCAGGGCCTCGCGTTATCAGCTTTCTCCTCACATCACGTGCCCAGGTTAGGCTTTTGGTGGTTATGTACAATTGGAGAAGCCACATTGAGCAGGGTTGGGAGAATCCGGCCAGTGGCTCCGCCACATGCGGCAGGCGCTCTTCCCACGCAGGTCCTGATAGCATCCTGTCTCATAGCATCCTGTGCATCCTGCCGTTGTAGCTGGTGGAGGCCCCCACCCTGCCCAGTGCTCCCCTTGCTCCTCTCTGCCTCCCTCACGCCAGCCGCTCCTCTGGGTCGGGAAGATTCCCCTGGAGAAGGAAATGGCAATCCACTCCGGTATTCTTGCCTGGAGAATCCCATGGACGGAGGAGCCTGGTGGGTCCACGGGGTCTCGAAGAGTCAGGCATGACTGAGCGACTTCACTTTCACTTCATACATGAACTGTTCCCTTTGATTGATGGGCTGGGTCAACCTGGAGAGTTCACATAATTGACAGTGGACAGTCAAGACCCTCTGCCCCAACGCCATTCTCTGCACTTCAGAAAAGACAGTGTCTGGAAGGACCTCAAGAGGGGACACTTGCCCACTTTATTCTGTTCCTCAGTTCTGTGTTATAGGCGGGGTCATGGGAAGCCCACGTGTGTGATTCAGACAAGGATGGAGACATGCATCCTGGATCCCACCTGCCATCAGTTCTGTCTGATGCACACCTGTCAGGTCTATGAAACGGAGAGCAGTGGTCACTTAACTGGGCTTCCCTGGTGACTCAGCGGTAAAGAATCCA